ACTCGGTGCTTTGCCATGATGGTACGAGTCAAACATGACACATGACCCGGGGCTTGAGGCCTTCGCCGTATCGCCCCCATTTTTTTCATCACCGGCAACGACAAGTACCAGTTCCTCGCGGTAGATCATCTGACGGAGGTGTCGAGTTATTCGCGCAATGATATGAGGGTCGTATCCCAGCTATTCTCCGTCTCACTCGGCGCTGACACTTTTGCGCGAATCGGCTTGGACGAGCGGCAGGAGGTGTCCAATCGTCTCTACAAGACGTTGACGAAAAGGGTCATTTCGAGCACGATAGAAAAGCTGGAACCGATTGCCCAGCTTCGTGAAGTGGCCATCTTCGACATCGAATCGCATTTCATCGAGAAATCACACACAGAAAGGGACCGTTGCAGAGAGTTGGCGGTGAAGCGTGCGCCAGCAGTCAGGGCGGCGATGGACTGCTTGAGAGAGAGCCCGGCATTTAAAGGCGACGATGGCAAAGACAAGGTCGTGGCGTTGGACGGGAGAGTGTTTCCGCCGGTCAAGTGGCAAGAGATTATCGACGCGGCCGTCAAAGCTCGTGCGAAAATGCACGAGTGTGTCCTGTACTACGTCTTCAAGAAGAAACAACTAAACGGCGTGACCAAGAAGAAGGTTTTCTCCATCCCGGCTAGGAACAGCACCAACAAGGCCACGAAGAGTCAAGGGAGGTCGTCTGCACTGAAGGATTCCGTCGGCAATTCCTACGCTGGGGGCCAAGAGTGGAAGGCCCTCACGCTGAACATGTTTGATGCCGCCAGAGAAGGCGGGGGTGTGGTGACACAAGACCAGATGCTGGAAATGGTGGCGTCCATAGGAGCGGCCACGCCGTACAGCATGGCGAACGCGACGGGAGGTGAGGGAGAGAGCGTGCGCAATTTAAACGAGTAGATATGTATTGACTCTGTAGCGGGTTAGTCTGACTGTACAGATTAAGCGCTGAAGAGCGTTGTCATCTCGAGCTCTCGCTCCCAGCCGAAGTTCACCCATTCTCCACGCCCGTGTTTTGACTGTTATTACCGTAATGCATACCGCATCGCATTGTGTTCACCCCCCACCACCACCACCACCACCATACACCCCTGTTGGAAATCTCTCCTTTTAACGTATCAGGAGCCAAGCACGCCAACAAGGCGGCAGGTCCAGGGAAATGGGTCAGAGAGCATTGTGCCGATGGATTCGCAGACGACCCGTTTTACGAAGCCGACGCTCATGGCGTGGATCTCCCCGTGTCTATCCACCAAGGGGTGCACCCGGAATATCTCGAGAAGGGAACTGCGGGATTATCGACTACTTCAAGAATCAGCTGTTGTCGAAGTGGCTGCAGTCGACGGAGCTACTCGTGGTGTGCTACGACCGACAGGAACTGGTGCCCGTAATCAAAGGACACGAACAGCTTGGGAGAAGCGAGAAAATTGGTGAGTGCTCTAGGACCTTCGACCCGAAGTCAACGGACCCAGTTCCTTCGTTACAGTATGGGTCATGGCTTCGAGCCGATGGCAAGGCGGCGCGGGACGGAATCGCCGCCCACCTCGCCACGCGCGTGCTAGCTGATGATGTCTGGACGGGCGACACCAAGCCGAATGGAATCGTCGCATTCTATGGCGTTAGAGGTGAGCCTGATCTGAGTGCTGATCATCCACCTAGTGTAGATGCCGAGGGCATAGGTCTCGAGATGGCAAGGGAAGGTGCCGGGGAGGCGCTTCCCGAAACTGAACCACTCCTTCACTTTGGAGACAGAACCGACACGATCGAGGGCGTCGAGCGACAGCGTGGGCCAGACATCGGCGAGGCGGAGCTCTCCGTGATACACTTCATCGCTTGGGCGAAGAAGTACTGGGGGAAAAGCTTCGACAAGTGGGTCGTTTCATCGGTAGACACGGACCTATGGATGATCATTCTACTGGCGATGACAACTGGTTGGCTCACGCCCCGTGGCGAGAGGGCAGTTGATGTGACAGTCCTGAGGGTCGTGGGTGGCGAGACCAAGTTCCTGTGGATGAACGGAGTGTTCGCCAGCATCTGCGAACTCCAGGACGGAAGCGAGTCCGCGTGGCCGCCATTGACCTTCGGGAGCTGGATTCCCACGGACAACGACAAGGTCCGTCTGTTCGCCCTAACCTTCCTGGAGTCGGGCTGTGACTACCTCCCGGCAATTTCCGGGCTGCCGTTCGACGAGATGTGGGTACTCGTCCTTAAGAGCGTACGGACGGAAGGTTTGTTTGATAAGCCGTTGTTCTTCGAAGAGCAGGACGGCACGTGGGCCGTGGATGTCGACGAATGCGTGAAGCTTTTGGCGACCTTGTTCTTCTACAAGGATGAAGCGGCGTTTGGCACTGCTCATTTAACTCCAGCCCAGGTGGTCCAAAGCGTTTATGGCGACGTCGAAGCCTACGTGAGCGTGATCCGCTACGCCATCCTCCAACTCCCCAAGAAGAAGACGACCGCCATCTGTCCGTCATATTATTCCTTGCGCAAGCAGGCCGAACGGGGTAATGCCATCTTCCGGTACTGGCAGAATGGCCTATGGGAGACCATGCCGGCGACAGAGTTTGCCGGCAAAGGATGGAGCGTCAACCCACGAGGAAAGGGGAATGACGGCATCGAACTCACAGTCAAGAACTGCGTGCTTGACCTGTCCGAGTTTTCTTACATCGCCCCAGACCGAAAGACAATCACGCTAGCGCCGAAAGACAATCACGCTAGCGTGCGGTTGCAATCCGGAGACGACCCTGTGCGACAGGTGCATGTGCAAGGACAGGAAGTGCTCGCTCGCTTGCGGCTGCAGAGGTCGTTGCACCCAACGTCGGGCGGCGCCGGCACCCGTGCAAGCAGGGGGGAGGTCTGCATCCCGGCCTACGGTGGGTACTCGTCAAACTGGGCCGATCGAGGGTGCCGCCCGACCCCAACCACCCATCGAGACTCGACCACGGCTATCCGGGAGTGTTGCCAATGCCATGGCACTCTTCATGGCCTCTATGAAGCAGCAGGAATCGCACGGAGCGGAGCAGAACGGCGTGGAGGTGGGGGCCCCTGAGTCACCTGCGAGCAACGACGTTTCCTCTGGCGAGGCCGCGGAATCGAAGAACGCAGAACTGGAGGACCCCGAGTCGGACGAGAACGGCGACGGTTCGGTCGGTGCGCTCGACGATTTGATCAAGTTGGTTTCGGGCGAATCTGGGTCCAGCGATGGGGGATCTGACAGGTTGAGTGGGAAGAGCGACGACCCGGGTTGTAGTGACGGGGACACAGATGATGGTGTTGCGGATCTCGTCACCGACGCCTGGAACTGAGATCTGACTACTTCTTCAGGCAGGTGCATGTAACGTTCCTTGAGAGACCTGGCTTGGGATTGGGGGTGCCGTGCCGGGCATTCTTGCACGTCAGATCTCCACCATAGTAGGGAAAGATCGCTGTGGTATGATTCATTGTAACTCCATATTTCAGTGCCACATTTTGCGCGTCTTTGTTGGTGGTTAAACAGGCCCGTGCTTCACTTCCGTTGGATGCAGCCATCAGTCAAATACGACGACCCTGGGATACAAAATGTCAGGCGGATGAACAGAAGCCTAACGCTGACCAGCCGGCTAGAGCGCGCGTTTTCTCCCCTGTGTTCTCCTACCCAGTTGCGCAGGGAGGTGGACGGGGGGGATTATTTTTCCTTCGGCCGCGCTGGGTGTCCGTTGTTTATTGGCATGGTATTTTGTGGGTCACAAACTGCCTGAAAGGTACGGGGATGCTGTGTGCGTTCCGGGCTTGCTTGTGTCGTTTTTACTGACTGTAAATAAGATGTTTGTTGCTAGGTTTGGACAACCCGGGGGGGGCGGTCTTGTGTGCGGTGTTCGTGTGTAAGTATTTCATCGCGTTTTCGACACACCCAATGCTCAGTGCGTACAATGTATGTACATGTATTCGTATGCTTACGGTTTGAGAAAAAATACTTCAACCATAAATAATGTGTACATATTGCCGGCCGTGCCGTCTGCGTGCGACATCAGATAGCATAACGTTATCAGCGACCAAGTTCCTTGGCCGTGTTACTGTCGCTACTCCATCCTCTCATTTTTTTTTTCCCGGAATTCCAGAGAGTTGTGCTGCTGGGTGAGGGCCCCGAGTCAACAGGCACAAGTGTGTGCGGTGCAACACAGCAGCACCAGGAGAGGGGGCACCCCAACAGCATTTTCAGTTCAAATCTAGCTGACGCCATTCAAGAGTACTCCACCTGTAGTACGTCTTGCAGCATAATTCCAAGTGCTCTACAACCACAACATCAGCAGCTAACCTTACCAGGGCTCGGTATTGCCGGTGGCGTGGCAGAAGATAAGCATGGTCCCTGTATGTGAATGCAAGTTTTCGACTTCATCCGTGTCTACCTCTCTATTCCTGGCATTAATCAAGTTCAACTTTGCTGAAATATACTCTGTGATTCTCAGTCCATCTTCCCTCGAAGTTTGGTGGCGATGGATGCTGTAGCGGGCGTGTTCTTGTGCTTGGTCGATTTGGCGGGTGCACAGCAGTGTGGTTGCGCCCCGTAGATAAGAGTCTCACATTTTTTTAGGGGAGGGGCTGCGTATTGCGCCGACAAGTTTGAAGCCTACAGTTGACGGAATTTCCCAAATCTTGGTTCCCTATATAGCTACTGGAATAGTCTACTGCTGTCAACCTTTAGCCTTGGATGGATGTACGCCGGTCGCGCAGCTCTTCTGCGTAAAACGATAATTTTTGTTCCACCGCCTACTTTTTTTTTTTTCAGTCGTGCAGCACTGGGGGTGAGTACCCGGGTGACCTGGACTGAGACTGCAGCTGCGGCGCCACCAACCGTCAACTACCGACGAGCTACTACCTTGCACCAGTGTTTCGCAACATCCGCTCTCGGCCTGCCGGCCGTCCACTCAAGCTGACATAATACCACGTTGTGCGTAGCGGCCAAACACTGCTGGGATGTATTCCTCGCACGTACTGCACCACCGCGCTGTAAATGCTCCGGTGATGTGTGTCGGTGGAAGTGCCTGAGAATCTGGGGATGATGTGGAATTGGGCCTACACTGCTAGCACGCACGCGGCGTCGCCTTCCATGTACTCGCAAGCTTGCTGTCAACTGGCTCGGCGGTCTCGGGGTCAAGCTAAACATAGCACGCATATGGAATCAAACCGAGGTGGCGAAAAGGGGTGAGTGATGCCATCGGGAAGTATTTCTAATATGCAGGCAAAGAAGACATCCTCACTTCAAACTTCAAACGGTAAAACCTCTCTTTTGCGATCTCGCCGTTGAATCACCGCCCCACCCCGTTTCACTTCCCCCCATACATACAACCTTATTCCGTCAAACACGACTAGCCGACGGTGATGACCATAGTTCACAACAACCTGGAATCAACATGCAGGTCTCGCCAAACATCTCGGTGAAACTATGTACTGCTGTACTGAGCGAATTCCTTGTCGCGGGTATAAGTTCCGACCCGCTGTAGGGTAGACGCCAACACCGTAATCTACCCCCCCCCCCCCCTCTCTACCGTCGATGCAAGCAAAGGTCTGAGGTCATAGGACGCTCCAAGTGCAATTGCAGCAGTATAGGCAGAAATGGGGATCCAGTCAATATGAAAGGAAAGTCACACAAGGGAGCTAAAATGGTGGTATGCCGTACGCGCTGTATGGCAGAGCAAGATTGCAGAGATATAGCTTGAGAGGCCGAGTTGGAAACAAGGGAAGGGTTAGGGATGTTGTTAACGAAACGGAAAATTCACGCATTTTTTGCACGGAACGGTGAAAAGAAGATCCGATCATTTTTCGCTTGTTCTATTCGTGATGTCATCGCAGAAAGTACGTTTCCTTCCCTGAATACGCGCTTTGCTCGGCACACAACAGGTTGACATGGTATTGCTCACCATAGAGCAGCGGTAGAAGCGCAATGAGCAGCACCCGACACAGAGGACAACACACTTAGCAAGATCCCGTCCACCCGGCCTGCTGTTTTCAGTTTTCAGCAACAACAGGCGCAGGACAGAGCGTCGCAACCTGGGTGTTGCTTGCGATTTCTTCAGTTTGGCAGCTCATTTTTCACGGTTGCGACTCCCATCTTTGAGCGCCACCTGCCCAAAGGTAGACGAGCTCAACAATCATAGGGCGGCCGCCGCGCTGACGGCCAGCATCATCTAGATGGCCAATCCGAAAGAATTAGCGTGTCGGAGGCCCTGCTGCTGTACTGCTGCGTGGTGCCGTGGATTGATGTTGATGTGTCCGACCAAAAACAGATCATCTCGCCACATTTTTTCCAACGGCATTTTGGTGAGGTGGCACACGTCTCTCACACACCTTATTGAGCAGCACCCAAGCACCCAATACCCACGAAGCAGCACGGCGCTGGGAGATGGTATCATGTAGACAGCCGAACCGAAGGAATCAGCGCGTTGGAGGTCTTGGTGCTGCTGCTGTACTCGTTCTACTGTTTCCGTGTTTGCTACGTGTGATTAAAACAAATTCCCCAGCACCAACAGTAGAAGTTGAAGACGAGAGCACCACGCAATGTCTAGTTTTGGGCCAAGAACGGACTGAACGCCGCTTCTGCGGCTTGTCCATCTCCACAACAGACCTGGGCGTGAGTCTGGCAGGTCTTTCTAGGGTTCTCAGTGATGTTACAGCGCCCGCGGTGCGCTTGTCCGATGCTTCTGTCAAAAACACAGATCGGTGAAAGTAGCAAGCCCCAATAAATCCCGGCTCCTTCTTTCCACGTTTTCGGGGGGAAACGCCTCCATATTTGTTCAAGAAGACACGCTTCCGGGGAATATTCCGTGCTTTTTTTTTCGTTCATAATTCCCCTTAGACGACCCATGGGTTGGACATTCTAAAGGAAGTATGGAAGAAGTTCGAAGTTGCAAAGAGTTTCTACGTTGGAAACGGTAGGCCTAGAGGAGTTCAAGCAGAAGATATATGTTGCTTTTGCCTAGAGACAAGAACAGGAGCTAACCAGAGAAACCAAGGTAGGGGGGGGGCGTACTCTTATGCTTTGCATGCCTTAGCGGTTAGACCGTAGGGGGTGGTCTGATGTGTACGCTGAAATGACCGGACCAATCAATGGATGCAGGAACAAAGGTAAAATAGACGACTGGGGACATCGGCCTTCGAGAACCTAGACGAAGATTTAGGAAGGTAGACGAAGAAGACAAGTTCAAGTTTAAATGTGGAATGCAGAATATCCATTCAACAAAGAGAACAGGGGATACTATGTAGGGAGGTTACAGAGAGGTGTTTCAGGCATCGAAATGCAGGAAATGACGGTAGCTAAAATTGGGTTAGGAAGTGGGCTGACGGGTGGGAAATTATATCGATGGGATAGGGGGGAATATTATTGAGCTGCCTTTGGTAAAAAGGAAAAATATTTGGCGATCGGTGATCGATCTTGTGGGAACAGATCTCCGTCCTCTCGAGGATGTGTGGTCAATGGTCTAACTGCTAGAGCGTGTAAAACGTGAGTACGCCCCGCCCCCCTCTACTCTACCCTCCCAGACCCTCGATGGAGAGCACATAACCGCGAGCCGGATCTCATCAGCAAAACTGTGCCGGAGGGATGAAGGCGATCGACAGCAACCTCGGGGTGAGAATGCGTGTTTGGGGGGAGGGTACTTCCGTGCCGCCCACGTAGTTTGCTGTGTGTGCGCGCGTGGTATGTGGTGTGTGTTTTTGCCACTACCTTGTCGTCACAACTCTGCTTGACGGCAGGCCCTTGCTCCGGCGAAGAAGGGCAACAACGCACGAACGAATAATCTACATTTTATCCCTTCATGTTCACTCTACCGTCGTATGCTGTGATGTTGGTGCGCAGCAGTATCTACAGTACCTCCTTTTCTCTCTCCTCTACCCCCCGCCCCCCACCCCCCACATCGGTCGTCACGTTTGCAAAGGGCAACCTTCGTTGCCGACTCTCTTGCCCTCGCAAGCATCGGCTATAAGCACACAAACGTCGATCACACGAGGAGCATAACCCCAAGTCCTCGCCTTGTTGTGGTAGAGTACTCTCCAGACTGCCTGACCCCGAATGGCATTTGTTTCGCTCTTGGAACCGGTGCAGCCTGTGTGTGTTCGCTGGTCACAACTACCTCTCACATAGTTCCATCGACATCCTTATGTCAGGGTTACATCATGGTGTCGCCTCTGTTATGTTGTTAGTGGTGTCGGCAAAACCCTTAGCTATGCAATATGTGGCATTACGACCGACTCCCTCACCCCCCCTCTTCGCCGTTCATTTGTGACTGTCAGGCCAACACGCCCGCGAGGGCTTCCAACTCCAGCAGCAGGACCGCGTGATGGTCCGGACGAGCAAGATTGACGGCGAGTGGGACATCCGGTAGATTCGGAAGATGTGACGCTTGAGAACCTTGTCGCCATGTACAGCTACTATAAGCTACCTGGCGGAATTCGCTACGGCGAGTGGGACATCAGGTAGATTCGGAAGATGTGACGCTTGAGAACCTTGTCGCCATGTACAGCTACTATAAGCTACCTGGCGGAATTCGCGGCGGTGAAGACAACCTGGTGCTGCGCACCATCCCCAAGTTGCCAGCGACGGCACTCTCATCCTGGCCGTTGACTTGGCAGTGGGGGACGGGAACATGCTGGGTGACGTTGTCTAAGAAGCGGAAGTGGCAGCCCTGAGTCGTGGAGGAGACTGCATTAGAACTAACACAGTCGACCCTACGGCTCCGGGCTGCCTCTTCTTGGACCAATGTGGGCCAGCCTCTTCCCGTCCCCCGCTGTCACAGGTCAACAGGCAGGATGGGACCGAGATATTTGAGGCCAACGTCGCGGAGACGGCATCCCTCGAGGGTGACGAGAGCAAGGATGTAGCGCAGCAGAAACCTCCCTCGCGAAAGCACATACTTCGGAAGTCTTCAAAAGTGTACAAGATGGCATCAGCAGCGAGTATGTTGGATATCGGAGGCGGACAACATGACATAAAAGGAGCGGTGGTTCCGTAGCTAATTTTCTCCTCATTCTCCCAGCACCCCGACCGTAGTTCGGTTTGCAACCGACCCACACACTGGCAAAGCACTACATCAATAGTTTACAACACGAAAAAATATTGTTCTTTGGACGCTACCAGAAACCCCATGTGTGAACAGTCATTAGCAATAAATACGTCGTTACGACGCCCGCTGAGGAAATAGTAGAGGTCCATCATGCAAGGGGGTCGGAATAACAGAGAGCCTCGGTGACGCAACGCAGGCCACCAAATCAAATCAGCCCATAGACAAACACAAGGAGCACGATCCCGGACATACATCGAACATCTCCACCGTTGTACTACGTATCTTACTGACACCTGGAACGCCATCAGGAGAGAAGCGACCAATCCACCGCATTCGGCCTTAACTTTATGGGCCCAAACCAAGCGACAAAACCACAATGGGTCTCTGACACTTCCGTCCCCGGCACATGAGGTTTCCCAAGCGCTGCACGTCAAGCAGGAAGAAATTGCGTCAGTGTACCTCAACGCGGCGTCAAACGACCGCATCCTGCCTGTACATAGACCTCACTCCTGCTCAAATGACAGCGTTTGACAGCCAGGCACCGTATCTCGTAATTCTTCGAAACGATCCACGCTGCCCATCTCCACACTTGTTTCACCCCTTTCCTATACGTATCGCGCAGTTGCCTACACTTTACGCTCGGGTAACCCAACGCTAGAGTCTCGCGCACGCCTTCATTCAAGGGTAAGCCGCGCTTCACAAAAGGACGCACCGGAGACAAGAGTGATGCACACAAGTTTTCTCGAATATTCCACCACATCACCGACCGCAGGCGGGCCACGCTGCAACTAAGAGGTTAAACTAAAACAACCAACAGCAGAGCTTGCCTGTTAAACTCCAACGAGGATAAAAACACCCGCCGTATTGCTATACGCGTGGGCGGTGCATGCGCGACCACACCAACCCTCAACCTTGACAAACAAGGCGCCTTTCTCGCCTCTCCAGCCGGCGCCGACCTCCAGGGAGTGACGAGCGCCCCCGAAGTTGGCGCCCGGATCGTGCATCTAACGTTACTCATTCGAACCGTAACACATGCACCCCATGTGTTTTTGAGATCGGATGCGACCATCCGTGTATGTACGTACGTGCCTGCCTGTGCTTCCCATGCGTCTGAGTTCCGCTGTTGCTTGTGTTTTTTTCGCGTGGCTGGCCTTGGTGTCCGTTACGCGCACATCAGTCTGCGCGATCCAGGGTCGAAGGTGATGCCGATCAGAAGCCCGGCAGTGACTGCCTGGCGCATATTGTAACCCTCGCCAAGAATAAGCGGCTGACTCGAGAAAATACACCAACGTCGCAGAGAGGTGGCGGGTCCAGGGTTACGACAAGGAGAGGGGGGAAGAAGGGAGATCACGACACACGTCGTGACTTGTTGGACCTCTTTTGCACATGTGTACCTGGGATACAGGGGGCCAACTCATGATCCGAGATGCTATGCGATCATAGATCTCGCACCACTTACATTCAAGCCCGAATAGAAGCAAACTGGGATTTTGCCGGACCATATTCACCAAGTGCAAAGAACGAAGAGTCGTCAAGAGTTCCGCAACAAGCACCAACCCAATGTGATTCAACATGCGAAGAAGGTGTCGAGTGGGCTACGCCGACTTGTACCTCTTCAGCCCGGGGCAGGGCGAGTGAGAGCATAAGCTAGAGAGTGCATTCACGAGGGGCAGACCAGAAAATGGTTCAGGAACAAGGAAAATAATGGGATACGAGCGACACTTAACTACACGCACATTTTGCGCGTGGGGGGGCACGAACACCTTGAGAAAACAACCAAGCATCACAAGGCTAATTCCGCTCGACTCGTTCCCCTTCCCTCCACGCAGCAATTTCAACTCACGCAAATCACCAAGAATCTCCGGAACCTCGCGCGGTCTCTGAAATGATTAGTGGTGGCGTGGTCTCGGAACAGATGCCAGTTAAGTCGTCGAAGGTCTCAGGAAACCAACAAAACGCGTGCCCTGTTTGCTTGTCCGCACACCTTGCGGAACTCCCGATGATACTTGACGTGAACTTCTTTCGGTTCCAGTGCGCCCTGAAGCAGCAATTGCCGGAACTCGGTCGAAAGCCGCCCCCAGTCAAAGTCGTCAGGCGAGAGGGATCGCGGAACATCCCGGCGAGGGGCCCTGCGCGTCGACAACGTCAAAAAGAACACCCACACGCCCGCGCTAGACAACTCAGAGTTGCTGTGACCACGATATCAGAACAGAGACGGAGAGGGAGAGAGAGCTACATTCGGGCCAAAAACCAACTGGGAGAGCCCGGTGGACGCCGCCAGCGGTGGCCAGCGGTGGCCAAAGAACGAGAGTCGAGAAACCTCACCCGGCACGCAGCTGGCTTCCTGTTGGGGGGAATGTGGGGGCTCCGTCGGGCGGGTCCTCCCTCCGGCCCGCGGGTACTCGGACGGTAAGATTGAAGCACTTGTTCGTCAGGTCGTAGCACACACCCTTCAACCACCCGGCTGACACGGCGTACCGCAGCGGCGTGCCGTCCAAAAACGGCGACTTCTCGCCGTAGGGTGATAGGGAACAGTTCGTCGAGCGGCCGGCGGCGAGTGTTACATTCCAAAACGTGCGGTAGCAGCACCAATACAACCCGATTATTGTATTTACCAAAGCCTACAGTACACATCAAGGCTACCTTCGCGCCTGCGTGTCGAAAAGAAAACTGGTCAGTCCTGGTGAAAACAACTCTCCGCTAAACAAGACCTTTTGGCCGGTCCTCCTCGTGAACGCGCTGGTACTCCGTGAGCGGGCGATCTCACGGCTGGGACACAAGCACCAACACCCACCTCGCCGATCTCGAGCACTCGCATGGCATGGGAAAATAATCTTCGTTGTAAGGAGTAGAGAAATACATTGTAAGACAATCACCAGACTTTACGAAGGAATGGAGATCGGGAAGTGATGCGAAAATGATCCATCGCCGACCGGCACATTTTACCTTGCCAAACCGTTGCTGAAAGGCGTGGTTCAGGTCCCGACCCGTCAGCTCGCCCTCCTCCTTGAGCAAAAAGTTCAGATTACCCTTCAGTTCCCTCCAATCAACCCCCCGCTTCTGCGGCGCCAGGGCGTGGGGCCTACTGGTGACGCCGCCAACACCAGCATCCGAAGCGCGGCCTGCCGCCTGTGATGGTGCCGCCGAGGTTCCGAATCTTAGCTGCTGTTCGCTGTCGTCTTCTTGCTTCTCTTCTGCCCAGCCATCGCTGTCCCCCGCAGCCTCGGCCGTATCATCTTTATTGTCGTCATTGCTAGCGGTTGTGCCAGGAACTGTGGTAGTGTCATCGAGAGACTTCTGCTGGTCCGTTTCAAGGGGCGGATGCCCTAGGGCCGGTGGTAGAACAACCGCTTGGCTCTGCTGGGGTTGCTGCTGTTGCTGGTGCGGTAGTGCAACACCATTGGTGCCAATATCAGCACCCGTGTTGCCAGTGGCGCTCATCGCTGGCGAGGCTGAATCTGCCCCCTGCGCGCGATATGCCAGAATAAACGCCGCTTGCGCTGCTGCCTGTCTTTGATGTTGCTGTAATTGTCGAAGCTGCTGTTGCTGTTGCTGCTGTTGCTGTAGCTGCTGCTGCTGTAGCTGCTGCTGTTGCAGAAGCTGCTGCTGCCGTAGCTGTTCCTGCCGTAGCTGTTCCTGCCGCAGCTGCCGCTGCTGGTACACTGGGGCTGACGGGAGGAGACGGATACCAGCAGGGGGCTCGTGCACAACGAACGGAATCTCTCCAGCTTTGACCATTGCTTCGCGTGCGGGTAATAGGGTCGCAAGCGCAAAGAGATTGGGCAGATGGGTTGGAATAGGACAAAAACAACACGGGAAGCGCTTGAAGAACAACCGGTAGAGGGCTGGAACAAGGCTTAACCCCCGGGGCACCGAACTCGTGACTAGCATAGTAACGTTGGTTCTCTGGCTCGACAAACTCGCAAAGCACGACGAATGGCAGAAAAAGCAAGAGTAACATCACCACGGTCGGACTTTGCGCGATCCCCAGCCCCAAGCCGGCCATCATGCGCTAACACGAACCTTACACACGTGCGAAACACTTACAGAACAAATCTTTCAGGGTGTACCGGGTTTCCCCGAAACGCGCCTGGTATGCCTCCCACAGTGCCGTTATCCTTATGCGTCCACCCCTTTCCAGAAGAAGCTGGGGGATGTCGATCGCCGGGCCAGATCCCGCTGGCCTAACATGCCCCGCTACAGACGAGTTTAATGGGACCGGGGCACTACTCGGCCTTTCCTCCTCCTTGCCGCCGCCGTCGCCAATCTCAACAACACTCGATGCATTACTTGTGCCCGCCCCGCGGACGTCAACGATTGTTTTTAGCGTGCCTGATGAAGGGGGGTTATTTCCTGTTGTCGCTGTTGCTGAGGGGGCGTCCTGTTCCAGTAGCGGTCCGGGGTAGGGGGCAACGGCGGCGGCCGGTGTTGAAGCGACCGTCCCCATGATGGCCTTGAGCGAACTCGAGGTCCAGCATTGTTGATGGGCGGCGGGCCGACTCATGTCGGCGCCCGGCCATACCTGACGACCCGGTTGCTTCGTGGGTTCAGCAGCGATGTCTCCCGCGGCGTCCGACGCGATACCATTGGCGCCGTTGTTACTTTTTTCGTTTGAGTTGAGTGCGGCGGTGGGGGATAAGGCAGCAGCCGCCGCGGTAGTTGCAGCTCTCGCTGCGGGACCGCCGGCTCCCTACAGGTTTCGAGTTCATCCAGGCACAGGAAATCAAGAAGGTTAGTTGATTGGAAGCTCGTAAACAACCCAAGACATTTCAGGGAAAATCAATTCAAGTATCGGTCCAACACCGCTAGATGTGGTCTACGGGTGGACTCTTGGCGTGATTCGGCATGCGGACGCCCACATTACGTAATTCCCTCTCGGTCGGCTCAACACTGCTGAAAAGCGGCGGAGCAGGCACGCACGCGGTATGAAATATGGTGTCTCGCAATCTGTTCCACGAAGGCGGTGCGTCGCCCCCTCGTCCAATACTTTTACAGGAACAGGCAATGGATCGTGCGCTGTTTGGTCTCGCGCTACGCAACCGAACACACCCACACATTCCTATTCGAGTATGTAAGCTAGGTAAATTTACCTCGAATGCAAAACAGACGGCGGGTTTTGCTCCACATGGAAGCATGCACCAGAACGCGAAATAATACTGGTGTCAACGATCTGGACGAGCGTCATGAGATGGTCGTTTGAGGCATGCATGCGTGCACAAGGTTGGTGTCGTCTTGCCTAGGATATCTACTGTAACGCCGGATGTACTTCGGCGTGAAATACCTTGAAGACAGTCGCAAATTTCTCACCTGCATTTGAGACAGCAGTAGCGCCTCGCACACCCGTTGGAGCTCTGCAACATGGTTTACCAGCAAATCCTTCTCTGTAACCAGAAAATGCACAGGAGATGGGCACGTAACTTTGGTTCAAACTTGATGATTGCTGGGAGTGTTTGCCGCACGGGTCCACAAGACACTTTCATGCAGTACGGGGGCTTGCGAACAGGTCTGTGGAATAACCAAGGGGCCCAGTAGGGCATGCGTAACACTAAACTTCATGTATATGTATATGTGCGCGTGCACATCACCACAGCAGCAAGATCGATAGCGACGGCACCCGCGACAGACCTTCCATGTGGTGGAGAAGGTGCTGGTGCAGTTCGCGCTCACGAACTGCGGCTGCCCGTAGCTTGTCCTTCAAATCTTCTACCACAAAATCACGGGCACTTGGAGCAGCAGCCGTGGCGGCAACATCTAAATTGAGCGTGAGTGGGAGGACAGCAGGGCGAGTGTGCAGATAAACACACGGGTCCGAGTCTGGACGCAAACAACATGGCCGGCCACCCGGATACCGTCTAATCTACTTCGGTTGTAAGTAAGATCTTGACATGGCTACTTTGACGGTGTGTGTTTGCATGTGTGCTTCACAAATTTGAAGGAACGCGCCAACCGGCCGACCAATGAGGGTACCTTAGGGGTATTATTGACGGAAGCCATTTTCTTCGTTTTAAAACCCCGAACCGTGAAAAGAGAAACGGCCTTTTTTTCTCTTGTTCTATTCGTGATGCCATCGCAAAAATTACGTTTCCTTCGCTGAATACACACTTTGCTCGGCACACAATAGCTTGACGTCGTTTTGCTCACCATAGAGCAGCGGAAATATCACAAAAAAGCAGCACCCGACACAAAGGACAGCATGCTTATAAAGACCCCGTCCACCCGGCTTGCTGTTTTCAGCTACAGACCCAGGGAAGAGTGTCGCAATGCGGGCGTTGCTTGCGATTTTGTTTCCGTTGGCGCTGGTTGGTGGCTGATTTTTCATCGTTGCGACTCCCTGATTTGACCACGAACTGTCGAAAGGTAGACGAGCTCAACAATCATAGGGCGGCAGCGGCGCTGACGGCCAGCATCACATACATGACCAATCCGAAAAAATTAGCGTGTCGGAGGCCCTGTTGCTCTAGTGCTGAGTGGTGCCGTGGATTTGTATTGCCGTCTCTCCGACCAAAAACAGCCCATCTCACCGCATTTTTTCAAGCGGCAAGGTGGCAAGGTTACACCCCTCTCTCACACACCTTGTTGAGCGGCACCCGAGCCCCCAATACCCACGAAGCAGCACCGCGCTGGGAGTGAGTATCACATAGACAGCCGGACCGAAGTAGTCAGCGCGTTGGGGGCCCTGCCGCTGCTGCTGTACTCGTTCTACTGTTTCCGTGTTTGTCATGTGCGGTTGAAAGAAAACCGCGACCATCAACTGCAGCAGTTGAAGTCGGGGGCATCACGCAATGTCTTGGTGTGGACAAACAACGTGTTGCACCCGGCTTCTGTCGCTGGTCTATCATGGCAATAGGCCTGGGCGTGAGTCCGGCACCTCTTGCTAGCGTTCTCAGTGATGTTACAGCGCCCGCTGTGCGCCTGTCCGATGCTTCTGTCAAAAACACGGAATAGGGAAAGCAGCAAGCCCCCAAAAAAAACGCCTCGATCCTTTCCCGGTTACGGAGAGAAATGCCTCCATATATTTGCAAGAAAACACGCTTTCGTGGAATTTTTCAGGGGGGGGTTCGCGTTAATAACACCCCTTTAGCGTCAGCTGGTAAAGATCAAGGTCGCCGGAGGGCATATTAATGAAAGGTCGGCGCCCTAAAACGAGAAAACCTCTTTAAACCCGGTTTGCTAGGGACACACGCCCAAGCTTCCTGCACCCCGCAAGTCGTCGCTCGAATCTAAGAAGCTACAAGAGCGGTTCGGCTGGCAGCCCTGACTTGTCAGGGAACTGATTTAAACTTTTTTGTAGACGAGGTTCCCTGCAACCCCCATATTCTACAACAGCAGCAGTGGCTTCTTGTCGTTTTGACGAACGGCATGTACTACAGGAGTAGTAGTTCTTCCTGTGGTGACCAGGCTCTTCTTGCAGATTTCTCACACTGCTGTACTCCGGAAACCATGCGGCTTTACCCCACAAAACTCGTCCCGGGCGTCTCCCACGCGCCGACCGCTTCGTCAAACACACCACTGCTGTTGTCATCTTCCACGAAGGTTGGGATTAACGAGGATAGAGCTGACACGTCTACGTGAATCACAAAATTGTAGACAATACAAGCGCTCCGGGGGGCCACGCCCCCCCTACGCGCTTTAGGTAATGTGCCCCATTGTCACGTGCCGTTTTATATTGATGGAGGCGTATAATTTCGTGTTGGAGATGAGAAGGGGATGCGTCCATACCAAGTGGGGATGAACGTAAGTGGGACGTGCCATGGCTCGCGTAGTGTGAGCTGCCTCAGAGATGAGATGAAGCCAATCGTGTGTGATCGCACGCGGCATTGTGATGGTGCGCAAGGATATAAGAGACGCTACGCACTATGTTTGTAATCCACATAATAGTAGAACAGACACTAAATGTACGTATCTCACCAACCCTCGAAAGCGTAGGTAGATTACAGGCCGTACAGTTCCTAAGTGGCAAGTACTCCTTGGATGCTGACACCAAAGGAAACCTCGACGAAAAAAGAATAGTTCGATACGTGTAAAGCAAGAAAGACATGAAGAGAACGCCCCAATTCCCCATAAAGTATATGAAACCGATAAACATCGAAATGGAAACAATGGGTACGTTCTAGACATTCCAGGCGCTCAAGGTAAAAGTCCGGTCAGACGGTCCTGTCATGCAGCAAGGAGATAACGCAATCGTTGTCAGCAGAAAGGAGCCAACACGCGAATCTGATCTTGAAACCAATTCCACAAATCTTCGCAATAGCTGGCGAAGTCAGCTTCATCTTGCTCGTACTGAAGAAGGAGTTGGGTTTCATTGTAATCTCGAGCCGCTTGGTCGTGCTCCTCGGAGCCGAATATCAACTCGTTTGAAGGAAGCATCCTGGCAATTATGGAGGTAAGGGAGGAGGGTTCGGAATTAAGATGGTATCATAGTGTCGGTTAACGGGATTGAA